GCATTTATATGGCATCTCCCCTGTGTGGATCCTTTTATGGATAGTAAGATTTCTATGTTGACCGAATACCTTTCCACACTCCATGCATTTGTATGGTTTCTCTTCTGTGTGGGTGTTTTTATGAGATGTAAGGGAGCCATTTCCATAAGAAAAAGTGAAAGTCCAATTGTCGTTTTTTCCATGGTCTCTGGATACATGATCTCCTTTGGTTTGGGTTGGATAATGTTGATTTACATCAAATTTATCTTGGATTAGCTTCTTCCCAATGTAGCTTTTCTTTATTTTTCCTTGTTGGGCAACAAAGTCTTGTATGGGAACCACAATGGAAGATGTGCTTTCTTGATTCCTATCATCTGACTGGTTTCTCTCCTGTCTTTCTTTTTTCATTTGAATTGGAAATGTTCTGTCACCAGCACTGATCACTTGAAACAGTTCACAGGAATCTTCATTCTCCTGCCCATTATTACCTTCAGAAGAAAAGAGAAATGAAAATGATAGTATTGGCAGGTATTTTTACGCATATAAATAACACCTGGCATATACCAGATGGGTGGAAGATGCCAATAGTTGTCCCCATATATAAAAAAAGGAAACAAAAAGGATCCTATTAATTAAATGCCCATTAGCCTGATTGACATTGAAGCAAATATATATGCTAGGTTCCTTTTGAACAGAATTGAAATCTGGGTAGAGGAAAACAATATCCTCACAGAAGAACAAGCAGGTTTTAGTCAAAGCCATACATTGATAACTGCTTTTTCTTGAACCATCTAATTGCCAAATATGCCTATAAGAGGAGTCCCGTTTGCTGCTTTTATAGACCTTACAGCAGCATTTGACATGGTAAACAGAGAAATACTATGGAGTAAACTGACATCTCTTAAAATACTACCTAGGCAGCTGTCTTTGATTAAAGCCCTTTACACAAGTGCCTGTTTGAGGGTGCGGTATGGGGTTTAATGGGGCTCTGACTAACAGGATTCAAACAAATAAAGGGGTATGGCAAGGGTGTATCCTGGCCCCATTATTATGTAGTTTATATATCAATGACTTGCCAGGGTTAATGACGCATCCCATGGTATACATACCGAGGATCCTAAATACTTACTGTAACAGCTTGCTTTATGCTGATGATACGATTCTATTATCATATTCACAAGTAGGATTACATAGGCTATTAAGAAGATTCAGCTGTTATTGCCAGGATAACTCCCTAATCATTAGTAAATCTAAATAAAAAACAATGGTGTTTGGAAAACATCATCAGAGACATAGGTGGCAATTAGACGGTGAACCAACTGAACAGGTTAACACCTTTGTATATTTAGGTGTAACTTTTTCCAAGACTGGATCTTGGACTTGCTATCAACAGAGTACACTTAGAGCAAAAGCCCATTTGAATTTACTGCTTATACTAAAGAACCATAGTTAGTCAGGGTCCCAAGCCCCATTAATTAAAGTATATAAAGCTAAGTTTATCCCTGGGACCTTTGGGAGGTCTTTACCTCCCAAAGACCCATTAGATCGCACAGGGTCGGCCTCCTCCAGGTCCCATCCACCAGCCAATGCCATCTGGCTACGACCCGGGGGAGGGCCTTCTCTGTCGCAGCTCCGGCCCTTTGGAACGAACTCCCCGCGGAG